TGGGAGTGTTTGCTTTTTTACTCAGGGACAACCCAGAGAGAGTTCACCTCTCTGGGTTGGGGGAGGCGTCACCATCAATGAAAGGCTCATTAAAGCCCACTGCTGCCACATTCCTGGCCGCTTAGGTCACCTCACAAACAATATCCATCATTCATTTGCCCAGCCGGTCCACATCCTGATGGTGGGAATGTACCCTGTGACACAGGAAGGACTTTATGACCAGTGATGCCACGCCTTCCTCCCCTCCCCAACCCTCAAGAGTGACAATGCAGAAAGGCCTAGCTAGGGTCCCTAAGGAGGTTGCTCACTTGACCCAGCTTGCCCCTGGTCTCACCTAAAGCAGTGCTGGGCACAAAGCTTCCCTTCGCCTCTGTCTGCCTTTCTGCTTATGCCTCTGACTGAGAGCAGCATGGCCGCCCCAAAAGGGCTTTGCCTGCTTCAGTATGAGCAGTCCCTTGATGAAGTCCGCTGACTCGCCAACACCAGTTCAGTGCTACACGGCAGCCCGCCTTGACACTCTGGCTTCTCCCCAGTGATGTTGAGAACGTGAGTCTGCATTTCTCAGTCACACCAGCCCTCCTCCTGCCAGAAGAAAGTTTCTACTTTGTCTGCATCTTTCTTTTCTTCCTGGTCCTAACACACTGGGCCTCCTGCTCTTTATACACACTCCAGCATCCATGTGACCTTTGGAAGACCCGCGAAGCTGTCCCGTTGCCATTCCTTATTCTCGCTCCTGGATTTGACCAGGTTCTGCTTCCTCTGACACAAGGCCTTTGCACAGGTGCCACCATCTGTCTTATTATTCTTTGTGATTCCCTCACCTTTGCTACTTGTGCGCGCGCTCGCTCTCTCGCTCTCTCTCTCGCTCTCTCGCTCTCCCCCCCCCCCCCCAAGCCTCAGTACCTACAAGAGGAAGTCAAGGGGTATGGCTGGTGTGGCCAGCTGCCTGAGCCCTAAGCTCTGCATTTCCTCTTCTGTCAGGCAGGAGCAGTAGTAGTGCTGCTTCACTAACTGCTGTGAGAATAGACTTGCTGCCGTGTGGCAGGCACGTGGAGTGGTGCTGGCCATGGGCTGCTTGTGACAAATCTGCGGTGGTTGTTCCCCGCTGTTAAGGTGTGCTTGATGTGGAATGCGGCTGGATTGGTCATGTATTGGCCCTGCCTAGGTGAGAGGTATACCTATTGGGTGGTGGTGGGGTTTTGTTGTTGTCTGGCTTGTTTGTTTTGAAAGAGAGTCTCTCTCCAGCCCAGCTTGTCTTATGAAGACCAGTTGGCCTTGAACTTACAGCGATGCTCTTGGCTCTGCCTCCTGAGGCTGTCAGGGTTTGATTCCTACTAGACACTCCACGGGCCTGACCTGGAGCCAGCAGATGGCTGACTCCAGGCAACTGGATTGTTGCAAGCAGGCCTGAAAATTGTGCAGAGCGGAGGAAGTTGGGGTGGGCACAGGGAGTGAGGCCTCCAGCTATAGAAACCACCCTCTGTCATCCACCCCACAGTGCTAGTTGGTACTGGGGAGGGAGAGGAAGAATCTGAGCAGGGTGTTATTTTTGTAACCAAGTATAAAAAGCTATGAATTTTTAATGTCCCTTCCAACCTTCGAGTCCCCTCGCTAGTCTTGCTGCACACAGAGCAGTGGCGACTGCAGCCGCTTGTTCTCCACACAGCTTCCTGAGTGCCCTCATCTCAGGACCGGAAGGAGCACCTCTGTGTCCTCTTGCTGGGTGTTTTCTTGGCACCTGCTCTGTGTTCTGCAGCAAGAAAGACAGATGTGCATGGCACAGCCACCGCTCAGCAAAACAGGAGTTTGGCATGTGCGCGACCTTGAGCCTCATGTGCCAGGCCCAGTGTAGACTGACTGGCTTGCATCACTGTCTACTCCTCATCTTCGAGGATTAGAGTCACCATTCAGCTTTCTCAGTTGCCGAGGTTATGGCAGTTTGCCTCCGTGGCAGAGGCAAGACTACCACATTTACTGCCCAGAGGACATGAGTAAAGATGGAAAGTGTTTTCAAGGGCAAGTAGTGAAGTTCTGAGACAGGTGGCTGCCCTGAGCAGTAGGGTCTAGTCATCATCTTGCTGTGTGGGAACGGGACATCTGCACAGACACTTTTACAGTCTCATTTCTCCTCTAAACTGCAGGAGTGGGCCAAGCGCCTGTACACAGAGAGGGCATCCTACCCTTCCTGAGGATTGGTAGGAAGGAACCCATAGTGTGTATGATTCAGCTGGCACTATCTGCCCAGCCTGTGACAGATGCTTAACTGCCTTTCTCCACAATTAATACGTAGAACAACTACGGGAGGTGGGCTCTGATCAATCCATTTTATAGGACAAGAGACAAGCTCAATGGGTAAAGTCAGTTGGAAACAGACCAAATTACCCAAGAAGCTGGCATCGAGACTCTCATCTGTTCCCGTCCCACAGCGTGCTAGAGCAACCCATGTAGGCAAAGGCGCCCTTCAGACACATGCCCTGCGCTCTGAGTGACATCAGAGTACCAGAAAGCTAACTCCCCAGGAACTGCCTTCCTCCAAGCTCAGGCTGTCTCACCAACCTTGTCTTCCTACTGCACTGAACTCTGAGCCAGATTCCGCTTGGGTTTTGCTCTTGAGATCAGTAGTGCTGCAGGTAAGACCCAAGGCTGCTTGTACAGTAGGCAGGCACACCACCGCCGGACCAGGGCCCAGCTTACCTCAGAGTGCCGTCCCTGCCCACTGGATTTTGGACAAGAAGGATCACACATGGCAGGAGAGTGGGCTGTGTGTCTGCTAGAATCCCAGACAATACAAAAGGCGTGGTAGTTCACGCTTGTTGTCCTCGTGCCTGGGAGGTGGAGGCAAGAAGATAAAGAGTTCAGAGCCTCTGCTGCACAGATGGCTTAGGAGTGAAGAGCACTGACTGTTCTCCCAGAAAGCCTGGGTTCAATCCCCAGCACTCACACGACGGTTCACGCTGTGTATAATTCTAGTTCCAGAGAATTCGATGCTCTCTTCTAGGTTTCAAAATAAAAAGTTCAAAGCCAGCCTCAGCTACATAATGAGAGGAGGGCTAGCCTCTCCTACTCCTCCCCCTAAAGAAAAGAAAAAACAGAGAGACACGGGTGGAGGCTGCTGTGTGACGTGAGCCGTGGTCTGTACCTGCAGTCCAGGGTGGGCCGAGCGCTTGTGGAAGCAGTTTCCTGAAGTTGGGACGGACGGAAGAGACGCTGAGCACGGCCGGGCCCTCTATAGCCTTAGCACACGGGCCTTTGTAATGTTCACAACCCCAGTGGCGTCTTCATTGCTGTGTTACAGAAGGAAAGACGGATGCTAGGAAAGGTTAGGAAACCCGTCTCAATTACAGCCAAGTCTAGCCTTGGTTTGTCTGAATTCAGACCTGTAGGGTAGAAGAAGAGGAAATGGGGCTGGAGGAGAAGGAGATTGGTAAACAGGCCACTGAGAACCTGCTCTGGGGTCCTTCCCCTGGAGGTGCACACAGCTGTGCATGACAGACAACTGTCAGAGATCACTAGCTGTCCCGAGTGGCACTGGGTTAGAACCAGACCATGGAGAGCTGGTGGAGCAGTCTTTAAGAGGAGCTACACTGTGAGCTGCCTTGGTAGTGGTTGTTGTTGTTGTTGTTGTTGTTGTTGTTATGAGACAGATTCTTGGTATTTTAGCTCAGGTTAGCCTCAAACTCTGATCCTCCTGCCTCTGCCTCCTGAGTGCTGGGGTTATAAGCGTGTATCACCACACCTACACTGGCTGCATTTTGAGTGATGGGTAACTGGTGGTCCCACTGCAAGTCTACAACGTAGGTAGTGTGCAGCAACCAGAAGGGGTCTCTGTCTCCCCTGCCAGGAACTCTGCACAGCAGCATGGGTGAGCGCTCGGGTCACCGCTCAGCTGCCCTCGTTTGCTGAGTCTTTGCTGTAGGTTGGTGTATTATTAGGCGGTGTCTTTGTCTGGAAGGCGTCTTGTGCTGAGTCTCTGAATGAGCAGGCTTGCCGGCAGTTGTCAAAACACATGATGCTTGGCCAGAGGCTCCATGGAAGCCCTCGGCACCCCGTGTGGCCTTTGCTTACACCCCAGGCATGGAATGTGCTCTTGCATGTTCCTGGCAGGTTGCCCATTTCTGTTCTGGGGGCTCCTAGGAGAGCAGAGGCTTGGGTTTTCCCAGATCGTGCTGTGGGAGGGAGAAGGCCAGTTTCCCCCAGAAGATGCCTGGGCTTGTTGATATTAACTGATCTGAGCCGCTTCTGTGGCACAGATAACAGGCTCCAGCTTGCAGGCACTGAGTGGCCCTGCACTTGGGTGTTCTGCCATCATTTGCAGTGTGCTGGGGTCTAGGACTGCAGCTTCTTGCTTTGTAGCCTTCTTCTAGAGCACAGGTTTTTACCATCTACTTGGTCTTCAGAAGCTTCCCAGCTGTGGCTGCCTTGCACTTACCTTTTAGCCACCCACCCATCAGGCACACCCAGTTTCCAACATTTGGAAGAATGGACCATGTAGGGAGGTCAAGGTGTTTGACCTGTGAGGTCACAAACTATGGGTCAGAATTGGGGGTCAGAATTCTGCCTTACAGAAGAGGGCTTAGCTGCTGGGCTGCCTCAGCTCCGGTGAGCCTTGGTTTGTAGAATACTTTGCTCACCCAGTCATATGTGTCCCAGGTTATGTGTGTCCAGTAACGGATAGGTCACAGTGGAAGATCTGCTTCAGCAGGACATTAGGTAAAGAAAGCTGTGACCTCTTGGACCGGTGTCTGCCTCGTTAACAGCCTGCCTAGGTCACTTTTAAGATCAGGAAAAATTTGTATGGTGTTGGATGTGATCTCCTGCTTACATAATCTCAGCATTTAAGAGGTAGAGGCCAAAAGACCAGGAGTTCAAGGCCGTCCTTAAGTCCAGCCTGGGCTACATGAACACCTGTCTTAAGGCATGATGTATATAGAGGTTCAGTGCTGCTTAGTGCAAAGCCCTGATGCCGGCTGACCTCCATCCCTTCTCTGCCTTCTCCCTAGACCTTCACAGCCTGGTGCAACTCCCATCTGCGGAAGGCTGGCACTCAGATTGAGAACATCGACGAGGACTTCCGGGATGGGCTCAAACTTATGCTTCTGCTGGAGGTCATTTCAGGTAAGACTCAGGTAGCACTGCGATCCATACTGTACCCTGTCCCAGCAGGCACTGCTGCTGCCCCCTTGCCACTGGGAAGCTTGACAGTTTGAGCCCATGTGGTAGGGCGGGGGGCGGCTTGAGCGGCTGTGAAGACCCCCTCTCCACTTGTCTTTTCAGGGGAGCGGCTGCCTAAGCCGGAGCGGGGCAAGATGCGCGTGCACAAGATCAACAACGTCAACAAAGCTCTGGACTTCATCGCCAGCAAGGGCGTCAAGCTGGTGTCCATCGGGGCAGAAGGTAAGCAGGGGTCCCGGCTGCCAGGCAGGGCGTCTGTGTGCCGAGTGAGTACAGGAAGCTTCGCTAGTAGTGACAGACAGTGGCTCCTACTCTTCTTGATAGTGTGGAGGATCCATGGCCTCTCCACCCTTAACGCAAAAGCTAGTGTGTACCAGGGCCAAGGAGGAACCCTGTATGCATGACCTGATCTATGTCTGTCAAGAGCACCTCTGCCAGGTCCTCATGGGTAGAAGGAAATACAAGGAGAAGGGGGGAGCTAGTAGCCTGATGGGGGCATTGGAACAGGAAGTGCAAAGTCAAAGGTCAAGCCCTAGGCTTCAGGTGGGTGGCTCTGGATGCCAGGGATCCCTGTCTTGAATGGATTCCTGGATCTGTACACCAACCTCAGCCAGCTCCCCTGGAGCAGCAGCTCCTTAGGGCCCTGGGGTTGAGTTCCCAGGCGCCTTCGGATGAGGAAAGGCTTGTGGAGCCCGGAGGCTGCCAACAGCCTCTCTGCTCATCACTCAGAACAGTTTCTTGTTCTGACATCCTTGTTGTCCCAGCTTTTAGAAAAACAAAGAAAACTAATTCTCGTTAATGACAGGACTGAGAATTTGGCAGGAGATAGGCCAGAATGTGCACTTCTGAGTTCCAAGGCCCTGCTCCAGCCCGGGACCTCTGTGGCGGGGTGCCAAGCCTTGCATGCCACAGTAGAGGTAGCTGGTGTTTGTTTAAAAACCAAAACCCAAAAATTCAGTCAGGCCGAGATTTTGTGTCCTTGCATGAATCTTTTCTCCGGGCTCCGCTCCAGCCCTGGCCTCTCACAGCTGCGTTTGTTTTGCTCAGAGGCTCATCTGTAAATACAGAGGGGTACGAGGAGAGACCCTGCTTAGGTTCCAGTCCCCACTTCATTTGCAGGACAGCTCGCTCTGCAAATGTCTCCTGCGTGCTCTAAGTGATCCTGTCCTAATCTATGACTGTCACGTGCCTAGAAAGGGGTAAAGGGCAACTTCACGAAGAATGCTGGCCCTGCCTGGCCCCTCATGGTCTGGCAATTGAGGAACATGGCTTCTTCGCTGGGGTTATAAGAGGGGGTGGCAATTTGAAGCACAGCTGCAGGTCACAGAGGCAGCTGGTGGATGTGTAATGAGAGTCCTCTTCCTCCCGGAACTTTGGCCAGCCTATACCTATGGCAGCTGTGAGATTGGTCATGTCCCTTGACTGAGGAAGCCTGGCCTTCTTGAAGCTTAGTCTAGCTTTCCTGGTGGGAGAGCTAACGTGGCCCCATGCTCTAGCAAGCTGCTTGCCCTGCTCACTCGCTCGCTCATGAGTCTCTAGCTGTGAACCCTGGGCAGATGGAGCAGACATCCCGTCCCTCTGCCTCCCTAGAGCTCAAGTGGAGTATGCTTGTCCAGCACTGTCTACTGAAAAGGAACTTTAAGTAGGGGCACCTTGTGTCCAGAGGCAGGCTGCAGTGTAAAATGGCTAGCCATTTTAGAACAGTAACTCCCTGGCAGCCCTCTTCCCAGTTTCCAGCTCAGCCCCTTCATATGTTCCTCCCAGCTGTTCCTCTCAGTCCCCAACAGTGTGCGTCAACAGTCCCTTCTCCCCGTTCTCCCAATCTGTGCAGCTCCAAACTGTGACAACTGTTCTAGCCTATCTGCTCAGCTCTGTCTCCTAACGTCTTCTCCACCAACCGTCTTCTCTTCTCACTCTGCTGGCCCCATTCCTTTTTCTCTGCCTCAGCTGGCTTTTTTTTTTTTTAAATAACCTACCCTGTTCCCAGAAATCTGAGAGACAACCAACACTGAAGGTTATAGTATAGGCTTAAGCAGTTCTAACAGTTAAGTTTATTTTGTTTTTTGAGACAACGTTTCTCTGTGTAACAGAGCCCTGGCTGTCCTAGATCACTTTGTAGACCAGGCCTGCCTCAGACTCACAGAGATCTGCTTGCCTCTGCCTCCCCAGTGGTGGTGTTAGAGGTGTGGGTCACCACGCCTGGCCCAACTAAGTTAGAAACTGGGCTGCTTTAAAGGCCGGGTGCACAGGATGAATCCCCTTACACCGCAGGGTCACTAGGAGGCAGCACTGGTTAGTTGTGCAGAAGATTGTGAGTGACAGCAAGGTGACTGGAAAGGAAGTGGCTAGTCCTTCGTAGGTGATGGTAGAGCCAGTGGACTGACAAAAGACCACCTTAATCCTGAGTGCAGGCTGTTCACGTAAAGATGGAATTTTACCACAGTAGTAGTAGATGACAAGCTTTGAGGTGAGGACCACAGGCCTGGGACAGTCGTCAGAGGAGCAGTTCTGTGAGCTGGCCAGTGGAGAAAAGGGCTAGGAAGCATGTACACAGGCTTAGGGACAGTGGCAGCAGGCTAGACTGGAGCATGCTCACTGCCTCCTCCTAGCAAGGTAGCTCTGTCCTGGGGTGATGCACAGAGCATGGCTCTAACAGCGTCTCTCTCCCGCTTTGTCCTGTGCGCAGAGATTGTGGACGGCAACGCAAAGATGACCCTGGGTATGATCTGGACCATCATCCTCCGCTTCGCCATCCAGGACATCTCTGTGGAGGGTAAGGCACGGACGGCACAGATGCTCGTCACTCTCCTAGGATGGGATGAATTAACAGCAAGCTCAGGTGTCTCTCCATTCTCCTCCATGCTCTTTTTGAAGCCCATCTTTCCCACAGCCCTTGGTGGCTCCAGGTTATCCCAGAGCAGCAGTGCTCTGTGGCCTCTATTTCATAAACTAACCCCATGCTTTGTCCCCTTGAAGTAGTCCAGAATGTCTGGCACATTGTACATCCTGGTGACCTGAGCTGCAGAGCAAACTCAGGATGCAGTTGGGCCGGGCCTTTTCTCTTTCTGCTCCACATACCTGTTGGGGATGTGCATTGTGGCCTGCTTTGGCCATCCAAGAGCGTTGCCCTTTCCACCTTGCCACAGTGTGTGTGTGTGTGTGTGTGTGTGTGTGTGTGTGTGTGTGTGTACCACAAAATGAGAAAGCCGTGAGGCCAGTATCTGCAGGGGCTCCTGGGTGCTCAAGAGAGACACATTCCTGTCTCCATGGGGCTTCCAGTGTGAGGACAGTCACATTACCCAGAGCAGAGGATAGTACTTGTTGGGAACAGCCTAAGGCTGGTCTCTAGGGCTACTCACTATGTGGCCTAGAGGCTATTGACAGGCCAGTCAGGGGTGGGAAGTAGTTTCAGATTCTATCCTTGCCATTTTCTGGAGTAGTCTCAGTGACAAGGCTTCTAGTATTTGGGATTTGTGTGATGGTGGCTGGATGGGCAGAGATCACCCACATCCAGAATGGGATGAGCTGCCAGAGCTAGGATGTCTGCTGTCCTTTCCCTGGGGTTTGTTTATCCCAAGGCCTAAGACTGAAAGTCCTGTTTAGCTTGGGCCATGTTCTGAGGTTTAATTTTGAGCTCACCTGTCGTGTGCTTTGCAGAGACCTCTGCCAAGGAAGGACTCCTCCTTTGGTGCCAGAGAAAGACAGCCCCGTATAAAAACGTCAACGTCCAGAACTTCCATATCAGGTAGGCACCCAGCAGCACCCTCCTGCTTCTGGGATCCAGGTGCTTCCTCACACCTGGCTTCTCTTGCCATGTTTTCATCCTGGTCTATGATATATAGCAAGCCTCAGTAAGTCAGCAAACCTCCAGTAAGTGCCCATTGGAAAGTCCCATCTGTTCCGAAAGGAGACTGAAGCTCCTTAAGACAGCTGCAGGTCTTCTAGCAGGCCTCGGGCCACAGTCAGGGTTCCTCTTCATTTTTACATTTCAAGAGAGGCCACTACATAGATTGCTATTGTAAAGAGAATGTGCTTTCCAACTGCTAAGGTGAGCAAAACTCAGCCCAGCCAAGCGGCTACTGTCCCTGGGTGAGGGAGGCAAAGGATAGATGTTGTTGCTGTAAACCGAGAGACAGAGGTCTGTGCCATGTGAGGCCAGGGGAGCAGGAGGCTACTGTCTGCCTGGGGTGCCCCCGACCGAACTCAGACTCTTTCAACACATGACTTTACCATGTGATGTCTGGAACAGCGTCTGCAGGGCCTGTTGTGTCACTCCATGCTGATTGTATTCTGTTCTTGACAGCACATGGTTCCCCTTGATGGCTCTGCTCAGTGTATCTCCTTTGCTGCTGTCTGCGGTTGATGTCACTGTCTAACTTCCTGAGTCAGTATCTGTAGTGTGCCTGCTGCTTCTACACATAGGGCACAGGAAAGGCTCTGCAGCAGGGAGCACGGCTCTGCAGCAGGGAGCACTGCCCTCTAAGCACAAGCACTGGGTGGGCTGTAGGTTCCAAATAGTGAGGTGGTGGGAAATGAGGAACTTCCTGGTGGTGATACAGAGCTCCATCCTAGAAGGAACCAATCCTTGTAGGATCTCAGGGAAGAGACTGGCTTTGTAGGGTTCATTTTGCTTTAGGGACTTCTGGCCACCAAACATCCAGCCACTTAGCCCATGCCACCGTGGTTGAGTCAGCCAGGATTCAAAAATCCCACCCACCTTCCCTTGGGGGCGGTCTCTTGGTACAGCCTGTCCTTTTCTAGAAGCCCTCATACGCAGTGCTAGGCTGCTTGAGCTATCTCAGTGGCCAGCAGAAGAAAGCCAACACTTGTGACATGTCAGGTTCTGTGCAAGCGTTAGCCTACTTATTCCTCACAGCAACTCCGAGGTAGCTGCTGCCTCTGTTCCCATTTTACAGGCGTTGAAACAAGGAGCAGTTCTGTGATTTTTTTTTTTCCCCTCAAGGTCACACTGTCAGTGCCAAATCAATACTTTTTTTTCCCCCAAGATTTATTTATTTTATTTATGAGTACACTGTAGTTGTCTTCAGACACACCAGAAGATGGCATCGGATCCCATTGCAGATGGTCGTGAGCCACCGCAGGGTTGCTGGGAATTGAGCTCAGGACCTAAGAACAGTCAGTGCTCTTAACCGCTGAGCCATCTCTTTATCCCCAAATCAAAGCTTTATCCCAAAGTGTCTGATTCTGAGGTTGTGTTCAAAGCTACTGCAATATCATGTCCCTGCAGTGCCTACCGCACGCTGAGCCTGCTGTATATGGGAATCAGTCACTGCTGTAGGCCCCTAGGAGCTATCAGGGCTCCCAGAACAACAAGGATCTGTAGATAGGAAAGAAACAAGGAGTGAGGGAAATTGATCCTTAATCTCCTTTTGTTTCTTCTTTGACCACAGCTACTGAAAAACTACAACCAACCACCGTAAAAGACCAACAACACCCACCTCACCTCCTGGGGCCCTAGCATTTATATACCCTCTGAAAACTTCCCAAAGTTCCAAACATCATGCAGTCTCAGGAATTATCTGCAACTAACAAAAAATGCTTCTGCTAGAACATGAAGCAAATCACAGTCAGCTGCTGTGGACAGTTGAAGCAACCCCATATCACCACACTTGGGATTAAAACAAGAGCACATTCTTAAAATTTTTCTGTTTTGGGGGAAAAAAAAACAAAATTCCATAATCCTCAAAAATGTCACTACAGGGACCCATTTCCTAACCTTTGCCTTCTCTTATAGCTGGAAGGATGGTCTGGCCTTCAACGCGCTCATCCACCGGCACAGACCAGAGCTGATTGAGTATGACAAACTGAGGAAGGTAGGTATCTCTGTTCTCCATCCCCAAGCTGACCTTCACAGCTGAGCTCTGACCAGATGCACAGGTTGGGGGCTGCTCAAGTTAGCTTTCACCTGGTCACTGGCTTGGAAGCTAAGTCTAGCCTCCTGGACACTCTCAGGTCTGTCCAGTCCTCCATGGGCATAGCAACTGGCTGGGCTGTTGTAGGGTCTGTCTTACTTGACCATTGACCCCCCTTCTTGACTTTCTGGATTCTAGAAGGGAATTTTGAACCTTCCCACCGGCCTCCATCCCTGTGCGAGTTTTCCTCTTACTTGCTTATACAGAGCTTAAGGTCTGCCCTCTTGGGAAAGGAAGGGGTGATGGCCAAACCAAGCGGCCATCTGTGCCGTCCTGCGCCCATGAGGTTGCAGAGTTAAGGGCCAGAAGCTGGTGAATGATGGTACCCCTAAGCTGCTCTAGTGGGGGAAGTACCCCTGGAGATAGAGAGAACTCAAGAGTTGGGTGCCAGGGGGCCACCCTGCTTGGGTGTGGTAGGAATGAGGATTGTGTTGTAGCAGAAAACTGGTGAAGGGAATGAGATAGAGCAGGCCTGCTGTACAAGCTCTGTCCACTGTTGCAGCGGTGGGATCCTGTGCAGGAGCTCGGGTGTTCTAGGGAGGGAAACATGGATTCTCTCTCTCTCTCTCTCTCCCTCTCTCTCTCTCTCTCTATCTCTCTATCTCTCTATCTCTCTCTCTCTCTCTCTCTCTCTCACGAACACACACACACACACACACACCACACACACACAGTGCCTTATGGTCTCAAGCCTGAACCACACCCTCAAAGGTTCAGACCACAGGGTTCAGCTGAGGCCTGTGGCTGGCTGGCAGTTCTAGAAGTATACCTACATTTTTCTAGAGAAAAGGTTGTAGTCCAGCTTTGGGTAGGAATTGTGCTATATAGCAGGCCTTTCTCTGTATAGCAGCACACCGGGATGAGAGTTCCTGACACTTTTCCAGCCCTGCTCCTCAAGGTTGACTCAGGCCAGCCTTTTGCCTTTTATGATTGCCTGGGTCCTGTTCCTGATGGAAGTCTGTTTGTTCTCTCTGCCTCCCCAGGATGATCCAGTCACCAACCTCAACAATGCATTTGAAGTGGCTGAGAAATACCTGGATATCCCCAAGATGTTGGATGCCGAGGGTGAGTCCCTCCCCTGCTCAGTCAACACCATGAATCCTTGGCCTTATCTCTGGACCTAGCTGTGGCTGGGCTCCACGACTCATCAAAGCCTCAAAACCTTAGGGAGCTAGCTGGCTGAGCCAGGGTGAAAGGCTGGGTGAACCTGGGGTGGCCAGATGGACTCAGAATAGCAGAAGGGAGAGTGGTCAGTGCTTAAAGGGTCAATTTTCTGGTACCACAGAGGGGACAAGGAGGTTGAAGAGGCCAGCTCCTGGCTTCCTGTGAACAACACTGGCCTCTCTCCTCATCAGCCAAAGGCCTGGGGTCTGGAGCCTGCCAAAGTGGAATGTTGTTTTTTCCTTTTCCGGCTTTGCTCCATTTCCCAGCCAGCACCACCCCCAGCAGGACCCATGTCTCTGGCCTCTGGTGGCCTTTGGAGTTCACTGTCCTACAGCCCCTTGAGGCCTTTCTCAGAGAAAGGAAGTGGCTTTGCTCCAGCTCAGTTCCCACAGCATTGGCCTTTCCTGAGACCATGGGGGAGGTTAGGATGTGACTGAGTCCATGTATCTGAACAACTCCTGTTGTTGACTCAGCTCAGAGGGTCTTTCCCTGGCTTAGCTGTGTGTCCTAGCAAGTGGTCTCACCCCTGCTTGGGCCGTTTAACCCTTGTTGTTCACTTACAGACATCGTGAACACAGCCCGGCCCGACGAGAAGGCCATAATGACATATGTGTCCAGCTTCTACCATGCCTTTTCAGGAGCGCAGAAGGTACCAGGCAGGGCCAGGCAGCCCTCCTCGCCGCCACTGCCCAATGCCGCCGCTGCCTTTCGCCTCCCACGCTCACTTCATTTCTCTTGCAGACGGCAGTGGGCTCTCTTGGACTGGAAGCCCGCTCCCTCAGTCCTGGGCAGTGCCGCCTGTCTAGTCCTTGCTCAGTCTATTGAATGCCTACTGTACACCAGGCTCTGTTCAGGCAGTAAGAACACAGGCAAGTTCCTGCTGCAAGGAAGCTTATTTCCTAATAGTTGAGATAGACAGCATACTTTAGGTCACGTGATACAAGGAGTCTGTGGAGGCCAGAGGACAGGGTGGTGTGGCAGAGGCACCTGGGTCCCCTGGTAGCTGGGACACTCAGTTGAAAAGGGGCTTGCTTCACTTGTAGCTGGGGCTGCCAGGTGAAGGCTACACAGGCAGGCCTTGGCAAGTGAAAAGGCTCAGGTTGCAGAAGCAGTGGCTTGAGAGATGGACAAGGAAAGGAAAGTTGCAAAAGGCAAGCTAGCTGTGGGTCATTCTGCTTAGGGCTTTTTTTTCCCCCTTTTGGGGGGGATAACTTTTATTTTATGTAAGTGTTTTGCTTAATGTATGCCTGTACACCTACTAGGGAGGCCAGGTGTTGGATCCCTTGGGACTAGAGTTACAGATGCTTGTCAGCCATCCTGTGGGAGCTTGGATTAAGTACATACAGTGCGTGCTCTTAATTGCTGAGCCATCTCTCCAGTTACAGGTTGTTTTAATTTGGCTTTTGAGACAGTGTCTTGTACATACAGCTCAGCTAGCTCAAAAGTCCTGAAACGCCATGTGCTTTTATTTATTTAGGCGGGGATCCTCTGCATATAGTCCTGACTATCCTGGAATCTTGGAACTTTACACACACACACACACACACACACACACACACACGGACCAGGCTGACCTTGATCTTCCTGTCTCTGACTCTTGGGTGCTGGGATTGCCATTGTATGACAATATATTTGACTCTTTGAGACAGAATCTGATTCTGTTGCTCCTCCTGCCATAGCCTCCTGAGTGCCAGAATTACAGATGTGTGCCATAGAGCCCAACCTACACAAATGACTGCTAGTTCAGGTGACATGATTCTGCTTAGGGTTTCAGAAAGTCACTTCACTTTTGACTTTTGCAGCTCCTTTCATACAGTCTAGTTAGTTTCAATGGCCTGTTTGAAAATGAAGGTCCTCTCTCAGAGCCTGGTGGCCCTTCTGTGCATTATGGCAGGGCATGGCCCCCAGGTCTGAGCTCCGCTGGTTTCCAGTCCAGAGCAAGCGCTATTCTTCCCGCATGAGCCTCGGGCTGGCTGGCTACCTCCCTCCTGCATCTTTCACTCTCTCCTGTCTCTCTCTTTCTCTCTCTCTCTCTGCGCAGATATTGTAGGCACTCTGAGGCCAGATGAGAAGGCCATCATGACTTACGTGTCCTGCTTCTACCACGCCTTCTCGGGGGCCCAGAAGGTGAGCCAGGGTGGGAGGACCCTGTAGCCAGTCTTTTGCTAATTTGTGAGTTCTTTTTCCCACCCTTTATCCCCCCAGTTTCACCCCCCCATCACTAGATAAGAAAGAAAGAAGGATAGAGTGGGGGAGAGAGAGATAAGAGATTCCTAAATCTAATTTCTTTCCTTGTTTTTCTTTGAGCACGACTACTAACAATTCAAGACCAATAAATACTACCTGTCGGGGCCCTAGGCATTGTTTACAGAATCCCAGACTTCACACAATCACAACTGGCAGACCCACGCCTCTGCTAGAGCGTGAGGCAAATCATAGTCAACTGCGAGGACAGTCCTAAGCAGCCCCATATCCCACACCCCATTAAAATGAAAATACTTTATCACAGCAAGATCCCTTGCTGCTGTGGACTCAGATTTACCCTTTCTGTCAAGTCAGCCCTATGTGTCCACATGTCCCTGCATGGAGACCTGGCTGAGCAGCCCAGGGCCATCGTGGTCATAGGACCCTCGTGCCTCCTGTTTGACCAATGTTTCCCAAAGCCTCACGGACCTTCTTGCATAGCCACCTATGGTGGATGTGACAGCTCTGACCACAGGGAAGTAGAATCCCAGGTCACTGTAGATGGTAGAGTTGGTGTATGACCCTTTACTTGTTAGGAACTGTACTTCAGGGCCACCTACCTGTGAGCCTCCTCTCAGAAGTCTCCTGCCCAGATGCTCAGGCGGCTCCTGGGTGAGTTGGGTAAACATGTCTATTATGGTGTGAGTCTCTATGAGCCCTGCTGACCTCACACCACCCTCATGGTTCCTGTCAGGGACTCACACGTCTACATAGGAGTCTTGGCACTTCTGTGCCCTCCTGGACTTGTATAGTAGCTTGGGCAACATTGTGTTAACAGCCCAGGAGTTAAGGATCAATGGTGCTGGTTTGGGGACATCTAACTCCCTGGGCCCTCTCCAGGGCCTTTACCTGCCTAGGTCCCATCAGAACTCCTGTATATGCCAGGGAGCAAATGGAGGCTGTTAGACTCATCTGAAAGAAAAGGACACTGAAGCTCAGAGACCCCACATCTGCTGTATACTGCCTTCCTAGAACCTTCCATCCAGTGGGGACCTCATCATGGCAGTTCTGCCCGGCCCTGCCCCGCCCCTCTTGGCAGCATGATCATGGATAGGTTACTTAAGTGTCCCTGTTTCTAAGATGAGAATCCTACTGCTCCCCACAGGGACTGTTCTAGGTGCCCAGTAACACGCTCCAGGGTTAAAGGGAGTCTGTGGCACAGCAAGGTGCCCAGTTTTTTCCAGGCCCCTCCCAAAATGGCCAGCTTTCAGTGCCCCTTTCCTACCCAGCCAGCATGAGTTAGATCTTGTATGTGGAGTGTTTTACTGGAAGGCACGGAGAGGGAAACTCTCCCCCCCCCCACACACACACACACACTCACACACACGCACACACTGACTGGTAATGAAGGCTGAGTGGGAATGGGTAGTGATGAGCCCTGGTTAATAGCAAGACTGCCATAGGGCTCACCCACGGTGGGCCTCCCTAGCCTCATGCTTTCCTTTTTTTTTTCTACCCGAAATGCGCTGTGCCTGGAGCCGATTTAGGTCTGGTAAAGGGATCAGTCACTAGCTCACTAGCAAGAAAGTTCAGGGCAGAGCAGTTTCAGGTTAGTGGACATCTGGGCTCAGAATGCTTGTGCTCGGCATGTCTTCTAAGGTAGCCTAGTCTGTGTAGTGAGGAAGATGGGAGCCTCAGCTAGAGTCAGCTTTCTCCCTTGACACCTAGCAGTGCTTTAAAGGTGCTGTCATTTCCCAGAGGCCAGTTCAGTGTCCTCATAGTATGGAGTTCAGGCCTGGGACGAGAGTACTATCTCCCCGTATGGAGTCACCAAAGCATTCCTTCTTCTTAAATTCACCAGTTCCGAGCACCTACAATGCCCCATGCCCCAGCAGTGAAGTAGAACGCCTGTGGCCTGCACCATGCTCAATTAGGGGTCAGAAGCTGACCCCAGCAGCACCTCTAGTCGTAGCCTTTGTCTCACCTCTGGAACAAGTCTTGGTGCTTCCTGAGCACAGTGTGTTATAGAGAACAAATGCACGTACCCGTGGCTGCTCTGTCAGCTCTTTATCTGCCGTGCACCACATGTGAGTGGGAAAGCACACTGGTCCGGAGCTCAACCCCAGCCTCCTCTCCTCCTCCTTACCCTGTAGACCCTCTTCACTGGTTCTCTTCCTGTTCTGTTGCCGTTCCAACTCTTCTTGGATCTTTTTGTGCTGTCCGAAAGGTACCTGTCTCCCTTCTCCTGGGTGGCACTTGGCCCCCCCCCCCCCGGGCTGCTAGCCTGCCGTGGCCAACTCTGTATCTCTGCCCTTCTGTGCGTCCCTTCTGCCCTTCTTATTGTGACTTGTGCCCATGCAAGTCCCTAGATCAGCCTCACCTCTGAGTAGGGGCCACAGTGGGCAGGACATGTACCGACCACTGGGACTGTATGGTACCGGCACCCCCACACCACCCCTCCAGTGCTGTTCCCACACAGGCCTGGGAACTAGAGGCCTGGTTCTTAGCAGGGGCTCAGGCCTTGCCATCTTTCTCAACAAAGACCCCGAGGACATGGCCACTCAAGGTCACTTTACTGTAGATCTGCTTCGTCTCCTTTCCCTCTTTGGAGTTCTCTGGGTCTTGGGTCACCTGCTTCCAAGGGACCTGCTTGTTAGGAGGGGGGTCCCCAGCCTCTGGCAGCCCTGACTGTGCTTCTCCACTCCAGGCTGAAACTGCCGCCAACCGGATCTGCAAGGTGCTGGCTGTGAACCAGGAAAATGAGCACCTGATGGAAGATTATGAACGCCTGGCCAGTGATGTAAGTGTGTGCTCGAGTGCTCCAGGCCCACCAGAGGGAAGTCTAGGCAGGGAGAGCCAGAAAGGTGGCTCTGATGTTAGGAGCACTCGCTGCTCTTCCAGGGAGCCTGAGTTTGATTCCTGACCTCTGGGGACACCAAGCACGCAGAGCGGCACGTGGACATACATGCAGGCAAAATACCCATACAGATCAAATACAAAATAGAGGTCTTATAGCCCAGGCTGGCTTTAACCTTCTGACCATCCTGCCTCCACTTCACAAGCACTAGAATAACAAACACTATTGCTGTGAAAGTAGATGCAGCATAGGAGTAAGACCTCAAAAATACAAGGCACAGAACGTTTGGTTTGATGATCACCATGCCGGCCAGCCTTTGAGGCCAGAGCTTAGGTTCATTCCAAGGCGTCCAGATTCAGCTTCCTGTGTCCTTAGAACACAGAGTTCTTAGACGATGACTCCCAGGTCTGGGGGCTTCAAGGTGACTGGTTCCAGGTGTGGATATGAAGAGTGGGGTCTTCTGAATGTTAGGCATGAGCCATGTCCTCGGCTCTGCCACCTGAGCCGCACAGGGAACGCTGAGAGATGTTTCACAGCCAACCCAAAGTGGCAGCATCTGCACACCGAGGGTTTTATGGATTGTGTACTGGCAAGGCTAGGCCTGAGAGCTATGGTTGCTGGAGCTTTTGCCTCAGACTCCCAGGGCCCCCTGGCTTCTGTGAGTCTGAGAGAGTAAAAGGTAACACTGCGACCTGTACCTGCCACTCCCCACCCTAAGACAAGGTGGGAGTCACAATGCCACTCAGCCTGGTGCCTCTGCTTCTGGTTTTGTCTTTGCTCTTAAGATGCCATTTCTGTGCCTTTACTCTTCTGGAATTGTTTGGAATGCCTAGACTGTTGGCCTGTTGGTGTTCTTCCCTGCCTTGTTAAAGATCAGAGTAGGTCATAAGAATACTTGTCATTTTTTGTTCCAGTTTTCCATTTTTTGAGGTGCCAGGGCTTGTATATGCACTGGCCATCCGAGTGAGGCAAACATATTGTAGGCCCTTACCATTGTGTCAGGTATGGTCAACAAACCTACTCTGAGCAAGAGTCTCAGGACAGCTATGGCCTGTGAGTCCAGCAGTCACAAGTCTCCTGACAGTATGGAAGGGTTCTTCTGGGTAGGGACAGTGGACTTAAACCACCCACTTCAGTCTGGGCAAGGAAGACTCTGAGCAAAGGCATTAGCAGAAAGAAAGTAGGGGATAGCACAGTGCTTCCAGGAGTGGCACACATTCATAGACCTCTGCTGTGGGGTCCCCACAGAAGTCATGGACAGTTTGAGTGGGAGCAAGACAGCCCTGAGGATGGGGCTTTTTTGTAAGTCCACATCCTGCTTCCCTGTAAGCTGGGGGCATCCCAGCAGCACCCCAGCACTTCACAGTAGTTACCATGGCTTCTTACGGGCCCACAGCTTCTAGAGTGGATCCGGCGCACCATCCCCTGGCTAGAGGACCGCGTGCCTCAGAAGACCATCCAGGAGATGCAGCAGAAGCTGGAGGACTTCCGCGACTACCGGCGTGTGCACAAGCCACCCAAGGTGCAGGAGAAGTGCCAGCTGGAGATCAACTTCAACACGCTGCAGACCAAGCTGCGGCTCAGCAACCGGCCTGCCTTCATGCCCTCCGAGGGCAGGATGGTCTCGGTGAGTTCATCACCGCCTGGGGGGAGTGGGGGAGGGCATCACCTGCTAAGCCACAGTAGGGCTTAAAGCCTGGCCGACATTATTGTAAGTCAGCCTTCGGGGCAGGGGTGGTGATGGGCGTGCTTCGCATTTCCTGACTATTTCTCCTGAGGTTTTACACCCAGAATTCTCTTCACTACTACCCCAGCCATACCACAGTTTGTGTGAACCGTTTGAATTTGCCAGGACTCGAGGCTAGCAAGTGTCTCAGACCCTCTGTAATGGGGGAAATAGCAAGACGCCTTTCGAGGTCTGCTCAGCAAGCACCATCCATTGATTTGCCCACCTGCCCACTCGTGCTCAGCCTCATCCAGTTAGACCCAAACAGTCCATGCTTGTGCGCCTGGAGGGATGCTCAGTGCGGAGGCAGTCGCAAAGGGTCCGAGCTCCGTCCCAGCATCCACATCAGGCAGCTCATAACCACCTGTAACTCCTGTCCCTGAGGGATTCAGAGCCACTCTCTGGCTCCTGTGGGCACCCACGCACGCACGCACGCACGCACGCATCTGTCCGTGCTGGTCCATGTAGACAGAGCTGCAGGGGCGGGTCAGGCAGGCCTCTCCGCCAGCATCCTGTGAGACCTCTGCCCTCTCCCTCCCCACAGGACATCAACAATGGGTGGCAGCACCTGGAGCAGGCTGAGAAGGGCTATGAAGAGTGGCTGCTGAATGAAATCCGCAGGCTGGAACGACTTGACCACCTGGCAGAGAAGTTCCGGCAGAAGGCTTCCATCCATGAGGCCTGGACCGATGGTATGCTTCCCTACTCCCTGCTCTCAGTGTGCTCTCAGTCCCTCTCCTGGCTGCAAAAACGCTGCTTTGGGCTTACAGAGCTGTCGGCAAGGCAAGGGATGACACTCTATTGGCTAGGTCTCCCTTTTGCCTCTGCTCTGGCCTGAAATGGCTTATGGGTGAGCCCCCTCCTGGATTATTCACGAACAACACAGCAGGGCTCTTCCCTATGCCTTCACACTTGCTATGTCCCTTCCAAGAATGGTTTGCAGTCTCACATTCAGCCTACCACGCTGTCTGTGACTGAGCTTCATAGCACATTGGCCAGGTTGCATTAGTCTATCTGTTCAGCCACCTCCTGGCCTCACTGGCGTGTCTGAGGCTGGTGCTCGTCACCACCCTGTCCCAAAGCCCGCTTCCCAGCAGCCCTGCAGCTGCCTGTCTCAGACTCAGGATGTAGAATTCCATTACATCCTTGGCTCTTGGCTGAGATCCACTCCACGAGAATCTAGATTCCCAGGAGACCTAAAGTCCTCAGAAATTGCCCATGGGAAGCAAAAGTCGTGTGACACACCCACAGACTGTCACTCGGTGGAAGCCCTGGGCTCAGCCTCACTGCTGAGACATAAATAGCCCTCCAGAAGACACTTCCCTCTATAGCTCTTTCTCCCTTTCCATCCCAGTCTCCACCCATGGTTCCACAGGAGCCTCCTTAACTGTGTGGGCATATAGCCCCAGCTGTAGGCAGATGCTGAGCCCCGCCCTCTGGAGACATTGGCAACTGCATAGCTCACGAACTACAGCACTAAGCTCCTGCTCTCATGGTAGCTCAGCCCTGCTGTTGTCCAGAGCAGGCCAAGGGGAGAATGCAGGAGGCAGAGGACAGGTGATGAGCTGACCAGGCTAGGCTGGGCGCAGGCACTACCTCCTGCTCAGACATGGTGCCCCTTCAAGGAGGGGGCGTTGGTTGTGGTGTCATGTTGGAGGGAATGGGGCCCTCATTGAGTTGATTTATTTATTCACTCATTCATTTGAAACACATCTCTAGCCAGTTGTAGCAGTTTGTGCCTATAATCTCTGTACTTGAACTGAAGCAGGAGGATTGCTGTAAAGTCAAGGTCAGCTTGGGCTGTCTAGAGAGTTCCAGAGTAGTCTGTAGTACAGTGTGAGCTACTACTGTCTTGAAAATCCAAACAAAATACCACATACGTGGCTGTGGATCTGAGCCGCTTGGCTGTGCTTGGCTGTGCTTGGCTGTGCTTGGCTGTGCTTGGCTGTGTGTGCATGGTAGTTTCCCAAGTGGGTGCGTCCTTCCTGAGAGAACTTGGGTATAAAGGCTTGCACTTCCTGTGAGGGCCTTACGTATGTAAAGATGACATAACTCCTGTGCCCCATATGTGGCTAAGGTGTTTTCTGCTGTATCTTGCCAGCTTATCTTCTAGATTATTCTGTGGTTCTCTCAAAGTGAGCTGGAGTACCCAACCTAGGGCTGCCAGAGGACTGGCAGCTGGTTTACTGGGGCTGTGGGTGTGGAAACCCCTCAGAATTCCTCTGGAAATACCTGGGGATAGGCTTGCCCTGGAGGGATCTAGGAATGAGGCCCACATGCAAGCAGGTTCAGTATTGGTTGACACCTTCACACACCTGTCCTTCCCAGCAGTCCGCAGACCGCCTGAGCCTCCACCTGTATTCTAAATCACTGTGAAACCCCTGCCCCAGAGGAGGGCTACTCAGAAGTGGTGGGCCTGTGTGGATGGTTTGCAGAGGGACCTAAGTGCCTAGGAATAAACCAGACCCCACCGAGCCCATGTGCCTCGCGTGGCTGCCCTGGAGACGTACTTGCCAGTCCCCTGCTGGAACAGCTGTGGCTGAATTTTTCTCAGCTGCTATTTCTGGTTCCCACCCTTGGGAGAAAGCAGTTTGGAGAAGGGAATTGCAAGCTTGCCTTGTGGTTAAGCCCTCCAGCCTGAGGCAGGGGTGGCAGGCCTGTGGAGTCTGTTTTCCAAGTCCACCTCTTGCCTCCTGGTGCCAGCCCTGGCCTGGGGGTGGCTGGCAGTCGCTAGGCAGATGAGGCTGGGAGTGACTGAGTGGGGTGGTGCCAACTATTTCCATTCTTAACCATCATGCTAAAATTTAGGATGGGCAAGGCCACATAGGTGCTGTTGATGGCACTGTTTTACAAAGGGGAGATGGGCCAAGGGGTGCCAGCTGTTTGCCGGGCACTCTGGCGGTTGACCTGAGGGTGAGCCCAGAGGCCGTTGGAAGCAGGGCTCCTTGTGGAAGAGAGTGGAGGCCTGAATGCCATCCTGGCTGGCATTTTCCTCAGTACCCTGTCGTCCCTTAAGTTACTAGCAGGCTGCTTGGGCTTTTACTCTGGGCATGTAATTAGCCCGGCTCCAGGACTAATAACAGTGTTTCTCCCTTCCTTCAAAGGGTTTGGACAGCCCCACCCACTGTGCCGAGAAAGCGGGTGGGGCGACGAGACTGGGTTAGGACCACCACCCAGGGGAACTGGCTCTAAAAAGCTGGCACGGGCACAGCTCCTGGGCCCAGACTCCAGGCTTGTCCCTGTCCCGGTCCCGCTGGGCCTGGCTGAACGCCCAAGGCTTCTCCCAGTCAGCGTCCTCCACAATGAGTGTCTGTAACTTTTCAGCCCTGGTATCAACTGTATCCCACCAGTAAGAGATACTGTTTAGAGCCTAGGCGTTACTCTGTACTAGCTGTTTCAGACCCATTCACACCAAGTGTCTTCTAAGTCTGCACAGAGCTGTGTAGAACATAGATGGCTTGCAGATTCATTCCCAAGGGGGCAAGGGAGAAGCTTCTAAGAGCTTCTATCGTCTGGGGTAACAGATGGGATCCGCATCTGTGGTTAAGATGCCTGTCTGCCACACCTGTAGGGAAGGAGGCTATGCTGAAGCACCGGGACTATGAGACAGCCACCCTGTCAGACATCAAAGCTCTGATCCGAAAACATGAGGCCTTTGAGAGTGACCTGGCCGCACACCAAGACCGCGTGGAGCAGATTGCTGCAATTGCCCAGGAGCTCAAGTATGTGTGCACCTACGGTATCACCGTCTGTAAGCTTAGAGTTCTGTCCCCAGCTCCCAACCAGGAGAGCTTCACAGAATGAAGTCTTCTGCCCATGCTGGCTCAACACCAAGAAGCATAAGGGACCTAAATTCTCCAGCACAGGGAGGACCCCAGACTCCCCAGCCTGCCACCCTGTGTGGGGAGTGCTGTACAGTGAGCCTGTTGTTTTGCTTGGCCCTGTCCCTCCTGCTCAGAATATAGTCACTGTAAGGGCTTCCAGGCAGCCAGTGTCCCCCTCTTCCCCTGCCCAGTCACATAAATTTGTGCACACAGTTAGTACACTGCACCTCAAGAGCCAATGAATCGGGCCCTTATTCTACCATTGCAGTGGCCAGCAGTGAGGAGGAGCCAGGGAATGGGGAGGCCTGGCCCATTACATCATGGAAAATCCACAGGCCTGAAAGGAGCTCCCAAAATAAGCTCTTTCCACAGACACCTCCACCCACTATTCACCTCAAACTTGAGCAATTCTGCTAGGCCTGCCCACTCGTGCCAGTGGGACCACAGGAACGGGGCAAGTTTCTTCCTGCTTCCCACTACTCTTGGCGACAGTTGTGCACATTTGCATACCAGAGGCAGAACGATGGTACTGGGACCAGTAACTTTGTTTGGTACCGGGGATTACCCTCCGGAGACCTGCTTGTCCAAACCAACCCCTTTCATGTGTGTGAGGTGGCCCTGGAGGGAGGAAAGGAGCTGCCTGCGCCACCCACTGCCCAGCATGTCTCACGTCAGTCAGTCAAGTGCCAGGGACATGCAGTGTGTGCATGCTTCAGAGGTAGACAGAGACCTGAGTCTGCTGTGTCGTCTCCTGTGCCTGTCATAAAAGTTAACTGAACAAGACCAGCAGCAGCAATAAAGTAGTAGTACAGCTGGATCTTGTTTTTGTTGTTTTCCAAAGACAAGGTTTCTCTGTGTAGACTAGGCTGGCCTCAGACTCAGAGATCCTCTGCCTCCCTAGTACTGGGATAAAGACATGGGTCACCACATTCTAGCTTTAGAATAACTTTGTAATAAGTGGTCTTTGCTACTTCGTAAGTTCTTTCTTCCCCTAGTTTCTCCTCCCATAACTAGACAGAAGAGAAAGGACAGAGGAAAAAGAGATTCCTGAATCTCATTTCTTTCCTCATTTCTTCTTTGAGTACGACTATTAATGGACTACAGCCAGCCCCTGAACAGCCACCAGCCCTGCTGATGGGGCTTTAGCACTTATACCCGAGAAGTTTCCTGGATCGTATATGTCACACACTCCGCAGCTGCCAAAGCCACGCCTCTGCTAGAGCACGAGGAAATCAGTCAGCTGCTGTGGACAGTCTGAAGGAGCCCCGCACCCCACACCTGGGAGGAAACCCTGAGAGCTTGCTTGCCTGTTTACTTACTTACTTATTATGATTATGCAGCATTCCACCTGCACGGCCAGAAGAGGGCGCCAGATCTCATAGATGGTTGTGAGCCACAATGTAGTTGCTGTGAATTTAGCTCAAGACCTGAAAGAGCTGCCAGTGCTCTTAACCTCTGAGCCATCTCTCCAGTCTGAAAACACATTTTTATAATATTATGTTTTTTAAGAAACCAAAATTGTTACTACAGAGCTTTTATAAATAGAACCTTTCAAGTCAACAACCCTAATATGCCAGTACTTTCAGATTTCAGTAACTAAGACTAAAAAGCCGACTTTTGCCATTAGTGATTTGGCTCTTTGTTTATTTTGTCTTGAGGCAGGGTCTCTAGTTCCTAAAGACCTGATTCTGTGGCTCACTGCCTTTAAACTCACTGCTGTTTTAGCATCCTTGGTGCTGGGATTGCAGTTAGGAGCCACTGCATGCCATCTCTGCTAGATGGTGTTAAAATCAAAACAGCTGCCTGGAGCCAGGAGAAGGGGTCAGTGAGTCGGGGCGTGTCCCTCCAAGGCTGGAGAAGGGGTCAGTGAGTCGGGGTGTGTCCCTCCAAGCCTGGAGACCTGAGTTGGATCCTGAGACCCACAAGGTGGAAAAGAGCTCTCTCCACAGATTTTCCTCTCTCACACACACACACACACATACACACACACTAAGTAAATAAATATAGAAGAATTTTAGAAAAGAGTACTGGAGACCTGTTCAGTGCTCAAGAGGGCACAGTGTCCCGAGGACTAGAGTTCAGATCTTAGGACCCACATCTGTCAGCTCAGTGCCTGTGACCCCAGTTCCGATGGGTCCCCTCTGGCCTCCATGAGTACACATGGTCAGCTGGCTCAGTAGGTGAAGTATTTGTTGTACGAGCATGAGGATGCATTTGTAGTGAGAGCACATGTCAAACTGCATGGTGGCACGTGCCTGTAACCTCAGCCCAGGGGAGGCGGGGACAAGAGGATCCCATGAGCTCCGTGGTCGGTCAGAGACCTTGTCTCAATAAGGTGCAGAGGGTAGGGGCCATACACGCCTGACACACAAAAAGCTGGATCCCCTGTAACCCTGGCACCTCACACCTACCAGCCTAGGCCAGGCGGCCCTGAAGTGTGAAGCCCAGAAACCATAACAGTGGGAGGGAGGCAAGGCCAAATCCTGGAAGTTGTCCTATCCTCTCCACAAACACATTCTGACACGTGTGTGCAGGCACACACTAATTATGAGGTATGTTTGAGGTGGGTGTGGTGGTGCACACTTTCAGTCCCAGGACTCAGAGTGTGAGGGAAGCAGGAACTGGGGTTCCAGGCCGGCCATGGCTTTTCAGTGAGATTGTCTAAGTGGAAAGAGAAGGTGAGGTCACTGAGGCAGACGCTGCCACTGGCCTCCACCCTCCCTGAGTATGCCTAGGGGTACACAGAGCGGTCAGGCTGCAGACATGCTGTAGACAGGAGGTCTGAGGTCCTGGGGGTGGAGTCTGTGTGTGCCCCCGCCCACCTGCCGGCCCTCATTTCCATCTGCTCCACAGCGAGCTGGACTACTATGACTCCCACAATGTCAACACGCGGTGCCAGAAGATCTGCGACCAGTGGGATAACCTGGGCTCTCTGACCCACAGTCGTAGGGAAGCCTTGGAGGTGAGGAGGGGTGTGTCACCAGGGAGCCGTATGCCCTTTAGGGATGTTGGGGACTTGTAGGAGGGCGTCTTTTGAGGCCCTCAGGTATCTGCTCACCAGCTCACCTGGCTTCCCTGTCCCCATCCCTCTCTGCACACTCCAGAAAACGGAGAAACAGCTGGAGACCATCGACCAGTTACACTTGGAGTACGCCAAGCGGGCCGCGCCCTTCAACAACTGGATGGAGAGTGCCATGGAGGACCTGCAGGACATGTTCATCGTCCACACCATTGAGGAGATCGAGGTCCGCTCCGCCACACCCTCTAAGGGGCAACCCCACTCCCGCCCCCAGAAAGGCAGGCTGCATTCTTCACTCCCTTTCTTCCTCTAGGGCCTGATCTCAGCCCATGACCAGTTCAAGTCCACCCTGCCGGATGCCGACAGGGAGCGTGAGGCCATCTTGGCCATCCACAAGGAGGCCCAGAGGATCGCCGAGAGCAATCACATCAAGCTGTCTGGCAGCAACCCCTACACCACCGTCACCCCCCAGATCATCAACTCTAAGTGGGAGAAGGTGGGCCAAGCTCTCTGACACTCGAGGGCTGGACTGTGCGGGTGGGGAAGCTGTCACCTGACCTCTGCTGCTGTACATCCCATAGGTGCAGCAGCTGGTGCCGAAGCGGGACCATGCCCTCCTGGAGGAGCAGAGCAAGCAGCAGTCCAATGAGCACCTCCGCAGACAGTTCGCTAGCCAAGCCAATATGGTGGGGCCCTGGATCCAGACCAAGATGGAGGTAAGCTTGCCCCACCCCAAACAGCGAATCCATGCTGCCTGTCAGCTGGGGTCCTGGAGGTCCCCATGGTCCCTGTGGCCTTGGCAGCAGATTCTATAGCCTTGGTAGATCTGACCTCAGCTCTTACTGGTCAGCACCCCAGTTGGCATCATAGGACTACACAGATGGAAACAGTAATACCAAGCACGTGGAAGCCTGGCTAAAGATCGATTAGAGCCGGTTTGGGCCTTGACTGTCCGTTCTTAGCCCAGCACTGACTTGCCGGCCACTCCTGTGCACTCATCTCTGGTGACAGCATTCCCACAACAAATGGCTTTTGCCCACCACTCTGTGTGACCCCTATGAGAGCTGTAGTGTATCTGAGCAACACAGCACCTAGGGACACTCCTGTCGGGGATGGGATGGTTTGTAAGGCGGCCAGTAGCAGTTCTCCTTGTCCCGCTGCCCAAGTGCTCAGTGTGCCAGGCAGTGGAGAGCCACAGGCATAGAGCTCTCCCCACACCCAGAGGGCTTGCCCTCCTTTGGTTCTTTATTTTCTCGTTTCTAAGTAACAAAAGATAGTTTTGTCATAGGGTGAAGGTGTGTGCACTCAAAGGGTGAGGGCACTTTCTCAAGTTACTCGGCCTGCCCTCCTTGAGCTCTGTTTTTCTGTCATGCACGGTGCAGGGCCTCACAGAGGGGTCAAGAGTGGCTAGTGAGGTTAGGTGTGTAACGCCGACTCTCAACACTAAAGGGTAGGGTGAGATCAGCGGGCCTTCTGTGTGACAGAGCGGCTGAGCTGGTGTCACTCGCGGGTCTTTCCTCCGTGCAGGAGATTGGGCGCATTTCCATCGAGATGAACGGGACTCTGGAGGACCAGCTGAGCCACCTGAAGCAGTACGAGCGCAGCATCGTGGACTACAAGCCCAGCCTGGACCTGCTGGAGCAGCAGCACCAGCTCATCCAGGAGGCGCTCATCTTCGACAACAAGCACACCAACTACACCATGGAGGTGCGTGCCCCGCCCGAGAGTCGGCCCCGCCCACAGGGGGAGTCGGCCGCCACACGGCTGCACCTTCTAAAACCGGGTGGAAGCTGCCAGAATGTGGGCGCGGGATCCAATGCCCAACCCCAGCATTCAGTCATGGTCAGAGGCAGCAGGAATGGGAGGAGTTCAACTAGGCCAGCCTGGACTACACATAGAGGGGACCCTGTCTTTACAGACTAGTGTACGTAGACATTTGGAAAACCGTGGTTCCATGAGTTCCAATCTAGAATTATCTGACACCGAAAGGGTCACATTCACACCCCACTTCAACACTTGGGGCCTTACCCGAGCAACGAGTCCAGGCCAGCTGTTGGGGCAGCCCAGCAGAGTAGGAAGGGTCGTGTGCTAGAATAGAGGGTCCTGTTTACATTCCACGGTACCCCAAGCTCCATGGGGTTCTCCTTCAGAGGGTCAGCTGTCGAACAGCGGCCAGCGTAGTTGTAAGGAGTTGTCGTGTCCCAAGCCTCTCGGGCCTGCTCATCTGCAGGTGGGAGAGTGAGGCCCATAATTAGCAAAGGACCTTTGTCCACGTCAGCTAGTGAGATGTGGAGCCCCTTCTCCCCCCAGGCCTTATTTGTTGAGGACAGTCACCCGTCCGTCCAGTCACACCCTCTTCCTCCCTCAGCATATCCGTGTGGGCTGGGAGCAGCTGCTCACCACCATTGCCCGCACCATCAACGAGGTGGAGAACCAGATCCTCACCCGAGATGCCAAGGGCATCAGCCAGGAGCAGATGCAGGAGTTCCGGGCATCCTTCAACCACTTTGACAAGGTAACCCCACCTCCCCCACCCCATCCTGGCACAGCGTGCTCTCTCGTCTCCCCATCGTTCTGTCCCATCCTACCCTCTCCATCTGCACCCGTCCATTCCATCCACGGGATGATGGGCAGGACCCCAGAGTACACAAGGCTAGGTGGGAAGAGGTTCCAGGACTCCGGTCCCCATATACAGAGTTTTTAAAATTGGGATCTGGTAGCCTCTTGAGAGGAATTCTGAGTGTTGAGTTTGATTGTTTCCAGACGACCTTGACCCAGTACCACAGCTGCTGAGCTGTGAGTACCAGTGTGCAGCCTGACACTGTCCTGTAAACACTGAAGGCAGGGAACGCTCCCCTCGATCTTTGAGCCCTGGACTTGGTCCTCCTGCTGCCCGTTCAACCCCCACTGAGGCCGTGGAGACCTCTGTGCCCCACCAATCCCTGGCCACCACCTTGTCTACATCACCTCTAACTGTGTGTTTCCCTTCCCCGTGTGTCTTCCTCCCCTGTCCACTGCATGTGGCCTGGCCCCTCTCCCACTTCCGTGGCCTGGTCACTGCATCACCCCTGCCGTACGCCTGCCTTCGATGGCCTCCCGGCAGGACCATGGCGGGGCACTGGGGCCTGAGGAATTCAAGGCCTGCCTCATCAGCCTGGGCTACGACGTGGAGAATGACCGGCAGGTACGCGCCCCACGCCTTTGGCTGACTGACATTAACCGCTTTTCTCTTTCTCTCCTTCTCCCCTCCCTCTCACCACCCGCCCCTGGCATCCTGTGCTGTCTCATGGCTCTCTTGCGTCCTCCCTCATGTCTCTGGACACTTTCCCCTTACCTGCTCTCTGGGCCTCCTGTCTCCTTGCTTCTCATTGTCCTGTCTGTCCACTCTCTGCACATGGGGCCTGCTCTGGGCCTGGCCTCTGCTATGCCTGCGTCCTGGGAGCAGAAGCAGACAGGCAGCATGGACTCAGATGACTTCAGGGCTCTGCTTATCTCCACAGGATACAGCCTGGTATGCTGCCTCTGCCTCCCCTGCCTCTGCTCCTCCTCCTTCCCCTCCCCTCACACGGCTCCTGAGCTTGCCTGTCTCCTGGGGACACTCCTCCACCTCCAATGTAGCATGGCCTTGCCTGCCTCTCTGCTCTGCTGCACTGGAGGCTGGGGTCCTTCCAGTGGACACCCCCACCCCCCAAAAAAGCCCTCTTCTACAAGTTTTCGGGGAACAGTCTTCCCACTCTCTCCCTTCTCTTTCTGCTTCTCATTGTCTTTTTCCCACCCTCCAGAGCTACTTTAAGCCAGAGCGGGGACAGTGAACCCAACCCCTGCTTCCCCAGAGTGGGGGGGTGGAGGGAGGCCAAGGGACCAACTCCCAAGGCCTGGCAGCATTTGGCAGCCTTTCTCTGAATTCTTCCAAAACTGAATCTGTACGCAGCTCCACTAAGTACCGTGTCCTCGTCCTTTGCCCGTCCCCACAGGGCGATGCTGAGTTCAACCGCATCATGAGTGTGGTCGACCCCAACCACAGCGGCCTCGTGACCTTCCAAGCCTTCATTGACTTCATGTCGAGGGAGACCACAGACACAGACACAGCTGACCAGGTCATCGCCTCCTTCAAGGTCCTGGCAGGGGACAAGGTGAGCAAAACCCACAGAAGCACTGGCCACCAGTGGCCAGAGCCTCAGCCAGCACTGGGTACTAGGTCAGGTGGGCCAGACGGGGTGGCTCAGTCCTGTCCTGTGTCTCTAGAACTTCATCACCGCCGAGGAGCTGCGGAGAGAGCTGCCCCCCGACCAGGCCGAGTACTGCATCGCCCGCATGGCGCCCTACCAGGGGCCTGACGCCACTCCCGGCGCCCTCGACTACAAGTCCTTCTCCACAGCCCTCTATGGGGAGAGCGACCTGTGAGGCCCTCAACCGCCCTGAACAGAGACTCCCTTGGCCTCCCGGAGGGGCTGAGGAGCCCACCCCCACCCTGACTCTGTATCTATGCAAAGAGCTCTTTGTGGTCCTTCTAGGGGGTCAGGCAGGGAGGGGCTAAGCAGGCCTCTCTTTCTCAGTCTTGTGGCGGGGGGAGGCTTGACATCAGCACTTCTGGTCTGCTAAATAGATATATGCTGTGTTATGGGTTCTTAGCCTATATGGAAGGGACAATGGACCCCTGGGCCCCCTCTGTGCCCCAGAGATACCTTTCTAAACACAGGTCCCTTCTGCCCCTGAGGCCCGTTAAGCCTCTCACATCCAGGCCAAAGCCCCATGTGCCTTGTCTAGGAACAGCCTGCCCTAAGAAGTCCAGCAGAGGGCACCTAGCTCCCTTGGACCAGACCGTAGCGGCCCCTCCCACCTCCCTGCCCCTGTGATCACCGGGAGCTGAGGACCTGCCATACCCCTCTCTGCCTCAGGAGTGGCTGCTGGGCAGTCAGCCCCAGCCCACCTGGCCTTGTTTCACCTGGGCTCTGAGTCTCAGATTTTCTAAGGACCAAAACCAACAAAACACAAAGAAGGAACACAAACAAACAAACAAATCATTAAAAAAAAAAAGGAAAAAAAACTTAAAAAAAAACCTATAAAAAAAACCTAAAAACTTCCAGAGAATTACTATTTACTTTATTAACTTACGGATTTATTATATAAATATATATCCATCTAGCTGCATATCTCTGCCACCTCTCACATAATGAAGACATAGCTGATTCGATGCCCTCCCCAGCCCCCTCCTGATTTTCCCCTTGTGGCGGTGGGCAGGGGTCTCTGGGGACCTCCTGAGGTGGAGGTGGGCTGCTGGCCTGCCTGCCTGGTCGTTAATGGTTTCTCTCCACCCGCCCCCTTGAGTTTATTCTGATTGATTTTTATTTTCTTGGTTTCTGGATAAACCACCCTCTGGGGATGGGAGAATAAAACATGTAATATTTTTAAGAAGGACTCTGGTGTCATCATCTCCCTGTGTCCCTGTTCACGCCCCAGGGGACTGGCAGTGCCACTGGCCCAGTGCTTGTGTGTGGGTGGTGGGCACAGGCTTCAAAAGGAAGGAAGGCAGTTCGGTTTGGGATGGCTCTGGCTCACAATCCCAGCATTCTGTGAGGCCAGCCAGGGCCACAGAGCCAGAAGACAAGACACCATAGCCACCACCTGTGTGACCCAGGCACTTGCTCCCATGTTCGGCTTCCGTCACTGGCACCAAGCAGGGTCAGCGGGGTGGCCTCCGTCAGCTCCAAACCTATGAGAAGGTAGCCACCTCCGACCACTGAAGAGAAAGAAAGGATGGCCTTAAGGCAGAGGCCTTGTGATGCTGCTAGAGCTACACTGTCCCTCGGGCCAGCTCACCTGTTTGTGGGTCAGGCAGACGACCCCTTCGCCGCCATCCAGGTGTTGGCAGCAGTGGCCTGTGTGTGTGAGAGGCCAGGGTGAGTACGCGGCACCAGCCCTGAGGTACCACACGCCACCCTGCCAGGAGTAGCACTCACGGAAGATGCAGGTGAGCCGGGCCGCACAGCACACAAAGCGCTCAAAGTCCACACGGAGCCGGCTGTCCCGGTAGCGGCTCGTGAGGGACTGGGTCAGTTGGTTGTTCAGGTGGAAGCCTACGAGGAGGCTGCCTTGTTTAGTGTGTTTACAGTATTCCACGCGTGGTGTTGCTTTTCATTTTAATGTTGGGGATAGGCTTACGTAGTGTGTTCACGTGTACGGGCACATGTACACACGGAAGCATCTTCCTCAATCCTTCGTGGATTGAGGCAAAGTCTCACTGAGATCCACAACTCAAACCAGTCTGTTTAACTTCCTCTGGAGATCATTTGGCCTTCACATGGGTGCTGGGGATCTGAACTCTGGCCCTCACACGTTAGTTGCAGTTGCCTTACCTAAGCCCCATTCCTGTGTGCTGTTTTGTGCTGCACTGTTTGAAAGAAGCTGGCCTCCAGTTCCTTTTACATAGCCAAGGACAGTCATCAGCTCCTGAGTCTCCTGCCCCCTCCTTCCAGGTGCCGGGAGTTCAGCCTGTGGTATCTGTGGTTCTTGATATAGAACTCAGGGCCCCCAGCATGCTAGATGAGCGCCCTCCAGCTAATCTGGGGTTTTTGTTGCTGTTTTGGAGAGTTGGGGATGGAACCCCGGGGCCTTTGCACAGACTAAGCAAATGCTCTCTCCACTGCACTCGGCCCGCAGCCCCTCACTGGTAGACTAGGCAGCAGCTCTCCCACTGAGCTGCGTCCACAGCCCTTTGCGAATTTAACGTGACACTTAAGTTGCTCAGGCTGCCTCTCAAGGTGCCAACGGGTGCAGCTTCGTGGTTGCTCCAGAGGTTGAAGGAAGGACTATCTCCCTGCCTGGGGACTGGAGAACACTGCTGTGTGACTCCTGAGCCCATACCTAAAGTCTAGACATTGGCTCTGCCACATCTGTTGTAGAACCACAATGCAACTGGTTTTTAGAGGCCCAAGGCCTAAGGACTTGTCCCTCTTGGCTTCCACATGCCCCATACTGTTTCAAAGATAACTGCACAAGTTTGTAGTGTGCCTTTGTGCTTTGTGTGCTCATTCAACAAATGCTACATACACACACATACACCATGCCCAGAGCTAGGTGACCTGAGGCAGGTCAGTGTCCCTCCGATGTGTCATCTACCCTTGAGTATTGGGATATGCTGGCCCAGGGTTGAAGGGAAACCTGGCTAGATGGCAGCGAAAAGACCCAAGGGCCCTCGGTCAACCTGTTAGAACTACTGGGCATTCCCCTGCAGACAGCTTCAGGCTCCTATCCAAAACAACACAACCTTTGGCATGTGCCAGGCACTCCAGGATGAATGGATGGATGGTCCAATGAGTTCCAGACCTCCCCTCGGTCCTGTATCTACTGCTTTAGTTCAGCACCCTGGCCCCCACCTTCTACTGGGATGCCTTGGGATCATGTCTTGCATGTTCCTGGACACTGGCCAACTGGTCTACCTCCTGCCCGCCCTGGCATCTACTTAGTGGTCACAGATGAACCCAGCTAGAGGCATGGAGCTGACTGTTTTCTGGAAACTCAATATTTCCACCCTAACATATATTTGCCTGTGGCTTAGGGTGGGATTTCCTTCCTCTGCTGTAACACAGTAGCCTCAGAAGGTGCTTTAGAGTATCTGGGGTGTTTTGTGGCTGTCCAGTGAGGACTCCTTGCCACACTACACATTAGCCGTGTCACAGATAAGAGCAGTCAGCCTCCATGGAAAGAAATTGGCACTGGGTCTTGTGCCAGCCCATTAAAGATGGCCACAGCTGAGGGGTGCAGACAAGAATTTGAGGATTGGGTGCTGTCCCTACAATCATCCCAGGTCCCCAGCCATACCTGCGGCAGTCAGTGCCAGCCTCAGTTCACAGGAGTTCATTGTCCCAGAGGCATCTTCATCAAACTTGTCAAAGGTGGCCTGGAGGGTGGGGAAGCAGGTTGGAGTCAGTGTCCCAAGTCCAGCCCCAGAGTGACGCTCTTGCACCTTGAAGTAGCTAAGAGAGGGCCTCTGAGGCCGGACAGGCTGGCCTCCAGCCGCAGCTCCCCTGGCTTCTGGGTGGCCACCACTCTGCATCTGTATCTGTGAGAAGGAACAAGCTCCCAGGCTGTTGGGAACACGTTCAAATCCATCTACCCACAAAGGCTAGGGAGGACTCCATAGCAAGGAGTTACCACTATGGTCAGTCCTGGGAGCCTTCAGCTCCTCTCTTAGCTATGCAGAGGCTCCCTGGAGAGAAGGTGACAAGCCTGTAGTCAGTCCCCTGGCAAGCAAGAAGCTGAGCTGGGAGTTGGACTTCCAACAGGAACCAAAGGCAGCTCTAGATCACTGCACTTAGTACCCGCAGAGGGCCACCATCACGTGACAGGGATTTTATATCCACCTCACTCCTAAGTTGACAATGCCCCCTTGGTGGCCTACAAGGCATCAGTGTCTAGAAGGAGGCACCTGCTCTCAACCCTCACCTACATGTCGTGACAGGAGATGGCCCCAGATCCCAACTCTCACATACCTGCCATGACAGGAGATGGCCCCAGAGTTCCTGGAAGTGGTGTAGGGCCAATCTTTGCCCACGCTGTAGTGAGGACACCTGGTTATAATCCAATGTCCCCTCAAAGGCAAGGGAAAACCCCAGCATCCCTGTCCCTCCTCCTCATACACTACCCCACGTACCCCAAAACACTGCACAAGCTGCTCACAGGTCCTAAGCCCAATCTCTCCAGGGGTCCTGGTGTTGGCCCTAGCTGCAAAAAAGAAACCCAGCACCCCCTTGCATGTAGGCCGACATTGCAAGAGCTTTGCAGACTAACTCCCTGCAGGGGGCATTTTGTAGAAACAGTGCTGAGAGTTCATGCCCGCAAAACCAACCGACCTGGGGTTCTATGTCTCTGCCCCCACCTCTTAGAAAAAGTGGGCGGGGCTGCGAGTGACCATGGCCCTCACATAACCATATAGGAAGTCCTAGTTCTTGTGCCTGGACCCCTAGCCTCACACATAGAGGCTCTATAGGCATGGTGCTCCAGTTGCAGGGGCCCCCACCTCAACCTTCAGCCAAACTCACCAGGCTCCAGAGCGATGCTTATCAGTGTCTGCAGCTGAAGGGCACTGAGTGCCTCCTCCTGAGCAGGAGAGAACCCCTTGTGAGGCCACCCGCTCAAAACAGCCAGTCGACAATCTACCCTGGGCTCCTTAGTGCTGAGGGTGTATCTATGGCTGCCTTCTTAGGGTTCAGCTAGAGGAGGCAGGTCTGTCCCCAGAGTGGTCAGGACGGTGGTGGGAGACACACTGCAGGAGCCCACAGTGGACATATGGCAGTGGAAAGCACTTGGGAAAGACGAGTTTGAGTCGGCCAGGAGATGTGAACCTCCAGAGAAAGGAGGTGCAGACCCAGCAAAGGCCTTGAGGCAATTTGAGCATTCCCAGAACACAGGAGGAAAGCATTGTGGAGGTAAGGCAGAGATACCCCCCCCCGTGCGGTAGTGGCTTACGCCTTTAATCCCAGCACTTGGGAGGCAGAGGCAGGCGGATTTCAGAGTTCGAGGCCAGCCTGGTCTACTGAGTGAGTTCCAGGACAGCCCGGGCTACACAGAGAAATCCTGTCTCGAAAAACCAAAAAAAAAAAAAAAAAAAAAAAGCAAAGCCAGCAAAGTGGCTCAGGTTTGTAACCCCAGCATTGGGTAACCTGAAGGAGGCCAACCTGGGCTACAGGATACATAATTGTTCCTGGATATCCTGATCTACAGTGCTTGGTTTGGTTTGTGGTTTTGCTTGTTTCTTAAAACACCTAAAGAGAGAGGGGAGCTCAGTACCATTTGGCCGGGCACCCCCAGTCCCCGACTCTTCTCACCTCGCCAGCCAGTTCCAAAAATAGCTGTGCCAACTCCAGCTCCAGGGGCTTGTAGGGGGCCTGTGGGGTGGAGGAGTTCAGTTCCTTCCCAAAGCCCTGCCCGCCCTCCGAGTCCTGTCCCGGCGCACGACAGTCCTCACCTGGAGGGCGTCCAGGTCTGCGCTGATGACGTCATCGATCTCCCTGCAAATTCCGGAAGAAGGGAGGCGTTTGGGCAGGGGTCTCAGCAGAGGAAGTGGGTACACTCAAAGGACAGTGGATTTGGGGGAGAGGGGGGAATCCCTGAGTAGAGCGAGGCTGGGGATGCAGGGGCGGGGATTTGTGGTCCCTGGGCGGGGCTTGGTGCCAGGGGCGGAGCCTATGATTCTAGATTGAGGTGTCTGGGCGGGGGTCGGGGTGGCCCCTGGTAAGGCTTGGGGAGGAGGGCACCGACTCACACTGCTGTGTGGCTGCGCTCCGAGAAGATGCGCAGCGTGAAGTCGGCTTCATCGCCCACGCGCGAGGCGCTGGGTACCACCAGATAGTGGCCGGGCGGCAGGCGGCAGCGGCGGCTCACGTCGCGGCGAGCGCAGAAAACCGATCGGTCGGCGC